TATAACTGTCCACTGCTGAACATAGGCCTCCCCTTGGGGGGATTTGCCAGCAGTTGCCACGCTTGGCAGGCAGATTGTTAACTGCAGTCAGGCTTCAGAGATGTTTTAAGAGGGACGCTGCTGTCCATCTCTCGTCGTCTCTTCGTCAGCTCATAACTTGGCCGTGTGGTCCTGGCATAGAATAGGCCACCCCCTCCACAACACTAATCACTACATAGTATAAAAGAAAGTCGTTTCCCGTCTGTCTGTCCCTATATATGCTTTTTTTTTTAATGGATGAAAATGGAATGATCACCCCGTCTGCGCTATCGGGATACGCTGGCGGGGCACCAGTGAGGGATGATTGGTGAGGATGAAAAGGCAGGTCAGTTGGCCCATCGTGATGAATTCATCAAAAATTAATCACGATGGTTTCCAGGGGGAACCGCGTGGAGGTCGACCTGTTAGGGTATATTGCTAGTAATGGGTCTGTTGGATCCCACTACTAACAATCTCTGTCCCCCCTCCCTATATATGCTTAGATCTTTAAAACTACGCAACAAACGATTATGCAGTTTCTTTTTAATAGATAGAGTGATTCAAAAGGAAGGTTTATATGTATAATACATGCATAATAGAGTAGAGAAACACTGATAATTTTAGAGGTTTCTAATATAATGGGGGACCGGCAGCGCTATTTAAAATCAGCATTGCACCCATACGAAGCCGGGGCGGGTCGCTAGTATAAATATAAAATTATCTATACTTATAATAAATCTGTAGAGAGGTCAATTCTGTACATGAAATATATTTCCAAAATAACTATCAGCGGGTGATTAGTGATCGATACTGATGCCAAAAATGCAATCAGTAAAATTTTTGTCCGTCTGTCTGTCTGTATGTTCGTTATAGAAACAAAAACTACTCGACGGATTTTAACGAAACCTAGTACAATTATTCTTCATACTCCTGGGCAGGTTACAGTACTTTTCATCACGCTACGATCAATAGGAGCAGAGCAGTGAAGGGAAATGTTCAAAATATCTAACCGTGCGACGCCGGGACGGGCCGCTAGTATAAAACACAATAGTTTGTTTTCAAATATTTTTAAACACACTTGCCTTACACTCACCTTGTGTATTAGTCCACTTCAGTATGGGCGAACCGCCACCAATCTCATTGTATTTCTTCATCACCTCCTCGGTCCTGCGCGTGGCGATCCACGGCCCTAGTTTGCTCTGCACCGGAAGCTGAATCATGTCGCGGTCTGTCATGATACGCAGAAGATATCCTCCAACCTGATCAAAGAGAAATCCTGATAAGATTACTAGAGGCAGACTGTAGAACTATCGTTTACCATCTCTATTCCAGCTGTATTTCTGTATTTTTTCAGAAGGGATTGTTAGTAATTAGATTTGACAGCCCTATTGCTAGCAATATACTATATCAAGTCGACCTCCTCGTGGTTCCACCTGGAAACCATTGTGATAGATTTATTGTTCGATTTATCACAGGCTAACTGACCTGCTTCATCCTCACCTATCATCCCTCACTGGTGCCCGGCCTGCGTATACCCATAGCGCAGGCGGCGTCAACCTCCACGTGGTTCCCCCTGGAAACCGTTGTCGCTAATTCTTGTTGAATTCGTAACGATAACTGGCCTACTTCATCCTCACCTATCATCACTCACTGATGATCCGCCAGTGTATACCAATAGCGTAGGCGGGGTTATCGTTCCATCCACATTATCACCCATTAAAAAAAAACTCGTCTTTTCATATCCAAACGTTACCGACCGGTGATGAGTTAACTTGTCATTAAATTAGCGTGTAGGTACGTCCTCTTACCACGACAAGACCAAAACAAGACCTTTTGGATTACAAAGCGTTCATGACCAAAAAATTACATTTCTTTGTATTAAGATTCTCTGTGTTCTACTGCTTGTACAACAGATTGTGCTCAGAGGAATTATTCAATATGATGCCTACGGCCACTTTCTATCATCGTACGGCTCGCCATCGACAGGGAGTTCACCCTCATACCTTACAGCCTAAATGGTCGAGTATAACACGGTTTCAGAGATGTTTTCTCCCACAAACATTCAGGTTATGGAATGACCTCCCTCCCGGCCAAGAGACTACAGCATGGGGTTCTTCAAAAGGGGGGTAAAGAGGTTTCTTCAGGGTCGGCAACGCGCGCGTAACACCCCTAGTATTGCAGGAGTTCATAGGCTACAGTAACCGCTTACCATCAGGTGGGCCGTATGCTTGTTTGCCACCTCAGTGGTATAAAAAAAAGGTTTTTATCACAATTTTAGTTTAAATCCAAAGATTTCAACCTTGACGAAATTACCGGTCAGCAAAGTGTTAACCGCAGTAATTTTTTAAAGGGAAACTGCGTGGCCTTCAACCTAATAGAGTAATGTAATACAATGTAAATTGGGCTCTTATTTCCACATTCAGTCTCTAATTTGGGCCGCTGTATGTGTAAGTCGTAGCTAGTACAGCCAGCCAAGCTGCGCCTAGAAACAATGAAGCCTCCTAGTATCTTCACAGGCCTCATAGAGCGATCTCACTATACTGAGGATTTCTGAATGTTGACGAGCCACAGTTACACATTCCAGAATTACATGGGCAGCCCTTTCTTCACCGTAAAAACAGCCTTGATATAGAAGGCTGTTTGTAGACTCCATTGTGTTTAAGGGGCCTGGCCCCTTATTGTTTCTATAATTGTTTTAAGATATTTTCCTACCTACATATAATAAATGTTTTGACAATTGTTCATTGACACACCCAATTTTGATGGTCTATGACAAGTTTTTTTTTAATGGATGATAATGGAATAGTAACCTTACGTGCATTTATATGCTGGCGGGGCACCAGTTACGGATATATAAAAATGAAAATGCAAGTAATTTAGTCCATCGTGATGAATACATATGGAATTCAATATGATGGTTTCCAGGAGGAACCATGTGGAAGTCGATCTGACATGGTATATTACTAGCAATGGGACTGGTAGCCTGCATCACTAGCAATCCCTTCCCCCCTGTCTATAATGAATAGCCTGTATCTATCTTTAGTAACAAAATGCATCTTTGAAGAATCCATGTTTAGAACTACAAGAATGGAAGAGAAAAAAGTGGATATGGGCTTGGTTTGTTACCATAAGATCCACTGTGCCTCCTTATCCACTGGAGAATAGAGTATTACTAGCAATGGAGCTGTGTGACCGAGCATATTACTAACAAATCTTCAAAAATAATAAAACCGAATGCTTAATACAAAATTTTAATTTGAGTGAATGCAGCTAAAATGTAAAAAAAAAATACCTGATCAGTAGTTTGAGGTCCCCCCATATTTAGCATGACAATGGCTGTTTTAGGCTTAACCAATGTTGCTTTTGAGCGTGATGCCATAGTGAAGGCAGGCATACTAACACGAGGAAACAGGGTGCTACTTATACGGGCTGAAATTTAAAAAATATATTGAAATCATGAATTGATAATCTTAAAGCTAGATCAGATGGCCTATCATGAAATGTTTTTCAAAATTTCAGATCCGAAAGAAACAAAAATTTGATGCTAAAATTACATGATATGTACCGTTTAAAAATATTAAAAATGCTAAAATATCGTTCCTTTGAACTTTTATGATAGGATTTATGATAAACGAAATGTTAAGCTCCATTTACAGGGTCGATTTTGGTACGAACAAAACCACGAAATTGAGCCCGATAATTCGGAATTTCATTTCATGGTAGACCCCCAGTTATTTTCCTGTTCTTAAAGTGTACATTCTGACTGTAGTAAGAGATAAATGAAAGATATTAGAAGTGTAAACAATTATTATTATTGAGCAGTAGACTTTGTCAGGCAGAGAAACACTGGGACATATTAGATATGTTGTGTTCACCCTTTCTTAAAGTTCACTACCAACTCCTGTCTGTAACAGGAATTTTATGAAGTTCTTAGCAGCAGTCTTCTTTATCTTTTTAGAATATAAGGTATGGACAATTAAGTATTACACTCTTTGGTCTTAGTCCTTATATTAATTTAGAAAGTTAAAAAAAAAATTTTAATAGGTATTTTAAAAAAAGAATGACAGTATTGGGGTCGATTCTGCATCAGCATTCTTTAAAACTATTTGTAATAATTTAAATTTGTAATCAAAACAAAAACTGTATATTAAGGACTATGACGTATTGTAATGATCAATAAAGTAGTGCTTTTGCGAAATTATAAAAAAAATGTTTTGCAACAGTGCCAAGGAATGGGCTCCACAAAAAAAACGTAGGGTATAGTCTATATTACTACATTTAGATTCTTAATATCGTACTCACATATAATAGAGACCATTTTCATATTTATTGTTTAAAAAATTAGGTTATAATTGATAATAGATAGTGATCAACAGATTGAGTGAAGTATGGATGTAGAAGATAATACATATAGATCAATCGCCAAGCAAGTAATCACGTAGAAGTCAATATCATAAGGTGCAATTAGTACCAGAAATCTTATAAGTAATCGTACACAATCTGCAATAACATATTTATATAAAAAAAAAAAAACAATATTATTATGAACTTATATTATTTACAATTAAAAACAAAAAAATTGACAACTTCTAGCCGGGGTTTCCGGTTATTCAACTTTCCCAATTCCAGTTTGTCTTTGACAGAACGTAACAACTCTCTCCAAAATATCTGTGGTAGCACCGCTTAGACACAACACAATTGAATTACTCAACTTAGCTTCTTTTTAAAAAAAACGTAGCTTCTTATATTTATTAATTAAAATTGTCTTATTTTTCTATATATATTTGTGTAAAAATGAGATGAGGTAGTATTACGTCTTCTCATTTTTATAAATTTTATCGTACCTCATTTTCTTGTGCAACTATTTCTATAAAATATAAATACAAATAATTTCAAAATAATATAAAATAATGATATTGCATTTATTCTTATTGTTTAGCACATAAATTCACACCTGATGTGGTAACACTGCTGTTTGTCTATGGTATATTGTTTTTAGATCAAAGTCGTCAACGTCAAAGTATTATATTTGTGATTGTGAATTTGTAAAATTATTTATTATTTTGTTTATAAAATACAAAAACATATAACTTTTATTAAAATGTCTTGTCGCAACGCTTCTCACGCTGGTAGTTGGTACACTGAAAATGGTATGTAAATCATTGCTAAATGTAGATAGATAATTATCTAAAATTCATATTAACTAATTGAGTATATTCTTGTGAACGTAAATTAATATTACTATTCTTTTGTGGACCACCTTATAATTCCCTATTTTGTCCTTTACTTTGGTTTGACTCCTGTGTTGAGTCAATAATCCTTATAGGTTAATGACCTCTCTGCTTAAATTTAGTCGTTAAATGTCCAATTATTGTTCTTTGTTTTCTATAAAAATTTATTGAGAGATTTGATATTTGTAAAAAAAAAAAAAAAAGAAAATATTAATTAAGTAATTTTGTAGTCAAACATCGTATAATTCTCTGTGTCTGAAAGAAAATATGCAGCAAGATTTTCATCTAAACGTTAATACTATGATGAACTTTACAATTTATAAATATATTTATTTATCTAAAATATTCTTCTGCCTGATGTTTTTTTATAATTTTATAATTATTGTTAAAAGAATGTCATTTGATTATTTTGTTTGACAAGTACTTGTTTTTCCTGCGTTCAGAAATGTTACTTGTGTCCTGTTAACTCATGTAAGGAGCCAGAGCAATATTTATTTAAAAAAATAAAAAAAAATAGTAAATTATTTTTATCGTTTATATTTATAAACAATTTTATTTAAATAATTGTAAATCTCTAATCTACGCTGACTTACTTTCGTATTGTTTCAATATAACGTTTCTGAACGAAACATGGTTGCTATGACAGCATTGACAACCGTTTGAATTGAACGTCAATTTTAATACAACAAATTTCGTCGCATATATTTATCGTTGGAAAATCGTTAAAAATATCTGAGAAATCAAAAACAATGCCCCCGCCAACATCTAAAACTGTAAAAATTAAGCGACCATCAACAGTTAGTGCTGTAACTTCGTCATCGCGCGGGAAAAATGCGACAACGGCGAAAGATAAAAACATTGGTGCTCGTCCTAAAAATAATAAAAACACTACGGTATTAGGCGAAGGGGACATGACGATGATACGCCAAGAAGCTTCTGTACTTGATTTCGATGCTGAACACCGTCAAATTGCTTACGGAAAGTTTTTACGCGCTATGTTAGAAGATTGCTTAGTAGACGAGAAAATTGAATTGGAAGAAACACAGATGGATATACAAATGGCACAATTGGCGGATAGGTTCCAGAAAACCGTGGATTTATTAGATAAAACTAACAGGAGGCTGAAGGATATATCCTTTATAGTGGAACAGAAAAGGTTAGTACAAATTTTATGGCTATTTTGTGTTTACTGAGAAACAGTAAACTATCATACACAAACTAGCCAAATAATATATGTAGTAAATCATCTTGGTATGCTTTTATTGAGATTATGTAGCATTTGGCGTTCCATTGTTTCTGCACTACCCTAAGACAGGTGAAATGGACATGTAGGTTAACACAAAGTTGACATATTTATGTTTTTTTAAAGTACTTTTAAAGGAAGCAAGACATTATCATATGGGATTCATTGTCATTTAGATATTCTTTATAAAATGTTTATATGTCCAATATGTATCTATGTAAATCTGGGGTGAGTTGCTAGTTAAACATAAGACTATTCTAGCAATATGTTACTTTAATAACTTATTTGATAAAAAGAGATTACATGGTTTACTAAATATGCCAATTGAAAAGAAATAGTATATTTATATAATTAAAAATTTTAAACTTCAGTCTGGCATTTTTATAAATTACAGGTTGCTAGATTTAAAGAGTCAGGATGCATCACAGTTCTACTCTATGACTGATTCTTCGAATGCTGAGGAATTGCTCCAAAATTTATCTGCCACAGAACAAGCATGTCTTGACAAACTGGAAACAAAAAATATTGATTTTGGATATGATAAAGATACTGGGCATAAACAGTTACTTGATGCTGTGAATGAAGCCATTGAGGGATTGGAACAGATTAAAAAACATTCAAATTTGGACATAGACAAGTTTAAAGAGTATGAAAAATCACAGACAAACATAGAGGAATTAGAAAAAGATAGATTCGATTTGGAAAGTTTGAAATCGGAATTTGAGGCAAAGTTCCCAAAGTTCAATGAGAGATTACTAAAGGAAGTGTCTGATAAAATATCCAAAGTGATGGATGATTAATTTATATTTTGTTACTTGATCTCAATTAAAATTAAATAATAATTGTTATTAAATAAATTATTTTATTTCTTTGATAAAGCTTTCAAATTACTAATATACTAATTTAAATGCATGAGTTAATTTTTGTTTCTGAAATTAAATATAATATAGTAAATTAAATTAATACCCCATTAGTGGGGTGTAGAGGGATTGTTAGTAATGAGGATATTACCTCTCATTGCTAGCATTAAACCCTGTAAATTCTAGGCTTACACACATTTGAATTTATTATATTTTCAACTAATTATAATAAATAAATAACTTTTCAAAACAAAAACAAAACAGTGTCAAATCCAATGTGAACAAATTCAAATAATTTTTATTCAAAAAGCACTTTTAAGTTGTAATTTTTTTTTAGTTAGAGTCAGAGCAGTTAGTTACTGCAGAGTTAGATAAGTTGTTATCTGTTAAGTAGAGCCCGCAGGAAACTCAACAGTTACTCTTTTAAATCTCTGTTAACACTATGTCTATATATTTCAATGTACTATGTCTAAAATTACATGGTCGTTAAAAGCTCGTGCATGATCGACTAACACCATGCACATTTGTCATCCAAGTAATAGTTCATTTTTATTTTATCTTTATCTGGTCTCCCAGCAATTGTTACACTGATAAGATTTAATATTAAGATTACTGTCTATTTATACTTAGTGTACAAGCATTTTAAAGGAAACACAGCGTGCTAATTAACAAATAAACAATAATATGGCATAACAAACTCTTGAGGTATTTGACATAGGTATAGTTTTTTAGATTCAATAAATCATTGCTTCACATAAATCTTAGCTATAGTTCAGCACATAATAGGCTTTGCTCAATAAGCATTTTTTAATAACAGTTTTAAACTTATTAAGAGATTTAAAATATTCTTCTGTAGTACTCAATGTGGATGCTTTATATCTATAAGCATTCTCTGTAGATTAAATTTCTGTTGGATATAGGCAATGAATTGTCCCGCCAACTGGACCTCTGGCTGTCAAAGGCTGATCTCACACACGGGCCGGCACGAGCCATCATTGCACCGTAAGTATAGACTTCGTGGTTTATTTGGTGTAGTTTTTGAAACCAACTCCCAGCAGCAGTATTCCTGGAGGATTAATTAAAAATTGTATTGTAAAAAAAAGACTTCAATCGTGTGAAAACCAGTTATTTTGGTCTAAAAATTAAACTATTGAACAAATTTTGATAAAATTTCTACATGGATATACCATCTGTAAATATATCGTTTTAGATAAAAAAAAAAAAAGAATTTTCCAAATCGATTCACAACTGACGGAGTTGTGAGGTAACAATCTCACAACTCCGTCAGTCGTGAACAATGGAAGGATGGCAGGTGTGCTGCTGGCTTTTATTTATTTATTTAACTCTTTATTGCACCATAAACAAAAATATACAATGACAAGTGAATAATTCAAGTGAAATACAGTAACATAAATACAGATTGGAATATACACATAAAGGTACAAAAGGCGGTCTTACCGCTAGGGCAATCTCTTACAGACAACCTTTGGTTAAAGGAGAACAGATAGAAGTGGGCAGGTGGCGCAAGAGTGAATTATTTTTTTTTCTTTTTATATTTATTACCTCATAACCCCATCAGTTGTAAACCGATTTGGAATTTGGAAAATTCATTTTTTATCTTAAACTAGTGACCCGCCCCGGCTTCGCACGGATGCAATACTGATACTAAATAGCGCCGCCGGCCCCCCATTACAATACGTCATTACATTAGAAACCTCTAAAACTATCTGTGTTCCTTTACTATATTGTATGTATGCATGTATTATGCATACAAACCTTCCTCTTAATTTGTTTATAAATACATCAAAATTCGTTGCGTATTTTTAAAGATCTAGAGACATCATACATCTTACCAGAGGAGACTTTGTACAAAAATCGTTTGCTTGGGCACCTCTGTTCCATTCGTGTTTCAACCGTGAAGCAGGTGTGTTTGCATGGCTGTGTTTCGGTTTGAATTTAAAGGGTGGGATATGGCGTGAATTTACAGGGTACAGAGGAATAACACCCGAGTCCTCAGGAATGATAAACCCATGGGGGGTATCATGGGCGAAACAGCCTGTTATGTTCAGGTGTTCCGTCAGTTTGTTTGCCATTCTAAGTTGTATAAAAAAAAACATGGACAGACAAACGGGAAGCGAGTAGTTTAGATGCGACATAAATAACAACTCTGGTTCATGTAGTTATAGATTTATCTTCGATATTTTGAAAATCTTACAAATCTTAGTATAAAAAACATAATAGAACATGGTAACAGTGTTTCTCTCCAGGAATCACGCAACTGTGTCTTTTCAACCGCGCAAATAGAAAGATCAAGGGGAAAGGGATTGTTAGTAATGGAGAATGAGAATCCCATTGCTAGCAATATACCCAACCAGGTCTACCTCCTCGCTGTTCCCCCTGGAAACTATCATGGTTAATTCCTGATGAATTCATCATGATGGGCTAACTGGCCGGTTTTCATTCTCATCTATCACCGTTCACTGGTGCTCCGCCAGCGTGTCCCATTAGTGCAGGCGGACTTACCGTTACCATACCATTATCACTCATAAAAAGAAATGAAAAAAATAAAAAATCCGTAGGGTAGTAATGGCGAGCGGCTACAATTGTGCCGGTATGTCACTTAGACTTGTATTGGTATGAAGCAGTCAGCAAGTGTTACTTCTTTATAATGTGTTACTTCTAAATAATAAAACAGTATGGTTTCAAGGTGTCTTATCCCCATATATACCCGAGTATGTTTTTGTTGGGTATGGTGGGCTATAATACACTTGAAGTGAGACGAAAACTAAATTTAATTGAATATGTGGTAAAATTAGTGCGGGGGGAAAAGTGTAACCAAACTGTACTGGAATCAATATCAATAGGAGCGCCCAGTAACTACGTGCGAGCACGTAGACGGCACTTATTCGATGTTCCATTACGAAGAACAGAGTTCGCTAAGCAGGCTCCCCTATCTCTTGCATTGAAACTACTCAATGATATTTTGAGCCAGTATCCGCAATTGGATGTATTTGCCTCCAACTTGCTGGAGTTTCGCCGGGTGACCACAGAGTATTTGTGTTCAGACGTTTTTGTTTAAGTCTTTTTATATTATTCTTGTTGTATATATGTGTAATATTCCTTTTTTTTCTATGTTGTTGTATTCATGCTTTCCTGGGTGGGCGTATTGGGAGACTGTAAGGCTCACCCAGTGGATGTAATAAATAAATAAATAAATAATTGTGCTTGCTTTCAGCCACGCGGGTTATTCATATTGCGGAGCGTGCGGAGCGTGCGCAGCCTTCGCCTACAGACAAGTCAGCCCTGTTGTTGTGTGAGTACATTGTTTCACATTAAATTCACGTAATAAATTACCACTAGTGTATCTATTTTGAAGAAAAAATACGCTGCAAACTAGGCTTGTGTAATGTGGATACCGATCCGATATCTGTGTATTGGGGTGAAAGGGATTGTTAGCAATGAAGTGTGACAGCCCTATTGCTAGCAATATGCCTTATTAGACTCATTTATCGTTGAATTCGTCACGATTGGCTAACTGATCTGCCTTTTCATCCTCACCTCTCATCTCTGACTGGTACCCCACCAGTGTATACCGATAGCGCAGACGGGGTTACCATCCCAGTTTCACCTATTAAAAAAAAACTAGATGGGCGCTGTCTTAAAATGTTAAATATAATAATACAGTTTGAGGTTATTTTCAGGAAGCGCGTGTTTATCCTAGGCGCGTCGCATTACGCCCGGATGGGCGAATGTGCTCTGTCCTCGCTCGACAAATATCAAACTCCGCTCTACGATCTCACCATAGACAAACAGAGTAAGAGATAATTTATTATTGGTAATAGATACACAGAGTTTGATATAATCTAAGAACAAGCAATTACATAGAAGGAACGATAAAATAAAAACTGTAAATCATACGGTTGCCTCCTTTCTTCTTATACAAATATAATTAGTAAAAAGAGAACGAAAGATACACCATCCGTTGCTATTTTTCTCAATTCATAGCAGGCTAGTGTGTAGAAAATGTTTGATATGTCAATTATTTGTCAATGACAAATTTTACATTACTAGATTATATATTCGACACAGTTTATGTAGAAAGTATGCGAGCGGGTTGTATCTGAATTTGGTAGGATTATACGACCAATAAAACCAAGTGACATATCTTGAGGAATTTGATTTCTACGGACTAGTCAAAGGGCAGATGCGCTTTTATATATCTTATATATCTATCCCTTTCTAACGCATTGGCAATGTCATAAATACAACGTATTGATAAAACGTATGATTAAACAGTTTTTATTTTAACGTTCCTTCTATGTAATTCTTTGTTCAAAGCAGTCAATGTACACTGTACATAAAAACAACGAATCCAAAACTTATTCGAAATTTAAACACATTTTTTTTTATTTTGTTTTAAATTCATTTAAACAAATTAAATTTAGAATACCATTTCTTTATTTCAAATTTAGAATGCCATATTTGTTTTCAGTATACGCGGAGTTGGAGGCGACGCGTCAGTTCGAATGGATGGACGTGGAGACGGACGAAGACGAGCGTTCTATAGAGATGCACCTACCGTACATCGCCAAAGTTATGGAGGAGTATGTACATGTTTTATCTTTATTTGTAGTTATCTCAATTTGATAGTTATCAAATTGTCCCCTTGTGGGCCGTGGGCCCCACGTTGGGAAACACTTATCTGATATGTTTATAATATTTATTTTCAGGTATAAAACCGGTTTCACAATCATACCAATTTTGGTCGGCTCTCTAACGCCGGAAAAGGAGGCCAAGTAAGTTTTTTTTCTCTTATGGGGTACGCCTATGTCCAGTAGTGGGCAGTTAACGGCTAATATAATAATATAGTCAATGTATATCAATAAGTAATTTTGCAGACTTTGTACAAAAGTCGATTGCTTGGGTACCTCTGTCCCATTCGTGTTTCTACCGTGAAGCAGTTGTGTTTGCATGGCTGTGTTTCGGTTTGAAGGGTGGGATATGACAGTGAATTTACTGGGTACAGAGGAATAACATCTGAGTCCTCAGGAATGGCAACGCATGGGGGGTATCATAGGCGAAACAGTATACTCTGTTATGTCCATGGTACTGCTCATGTCTATAGGCGAAGGTTACCACATTCCATCAGGTGGGCCGTCAGCTTGTATGCCATTCTATGTTGTATAAAAAAAAATTATTTAAATTTTAAACCAAGTATATATACTATTGTTACTATAATTGTCATATATTTTTCACCACATCTGCCCTTCATACGCTTTCTGTTTTCACCTAATGGTCAGCTGGTAGAGAATGCCATATGGCATTAAGCTTGCCATTTGTACAAAATTTTATTGTGCAATAAAGAATAAATAAATAAATATATTTTTAGATTGTTCTCGTAGAAAATTTGTCAAAGACACTGTAGTAGTTTGGTTTTTAAATCAAAATAAACTACATTTGCCACCGTTAAAGTCTTTTTTTTTTTGTGTGTAACAAATGTACAGTCAGCCAATCAAAGCAGCCTGAAAGAGATCACTCTTAGCGATAAGGTCGCCCATTGTTTTCTCACTGTGATTGTTTCTTGTAATTATTTATATTTATAATAAGTTTACTATTGTAATCTTTTGGAGGAAACAATAAAGAGTATCTATCTAACGTTCCAGATATGGTGCAATCCTGGCCCCCTACCTGGCTGACCCGCAGAATTTACTAGTGATCTCCTCCGACTTCTGCCACTGGGGCTCGAGGTTCCGGTACACTTGGCGCGACTCGTCCAGGGGACCCATCCACCAGAGCATCGAGTGGCTCGACAAACAGGTACAGTGTTTAACGTGGCACGTTACTAAACGAAATTAAAAAATCACGCCATCTGTTATAGATGGCGCTGGAATCGATACTTGTGGTTTTTGTTCATTATTTTGTAATTAAAGGTATATTTTTTTATACAACTTAGAATGGCAAACAAGCCGACGGCCCACCTGATGGAAAGTAGTAACTGTCGCCTATAGACATGAGCAGTACCATGGACATAACAGAGTATACTGTTTCGCCCATGATACCCCCATACGTTGTCATTCCTGAGGACTCAGGTGGTATTCCTCTGTACCCTGTAAATTCTTAACAAAATATAGATTTGTTTTAATTATATACTACTAGCGGCCCGGTACGTGCTTCGCTACGTATAAAGTGATGTTTAAAAATATAAACACAAAGCAATAATTATCGCTGACAATTTGCTTTAATTTTTAAATTTTTAAATTGCACGTCCAAAATAAAATGACCGCATGAATGACATAACGACATGGTTGTACTTTTTTTTTTAATGGGTGAAAATGGTATGGTAACACCGCCTGTGCTAACGGGATACGCTGGCGGAGCACCAGTGAAGGGTGATAGATGAGGATGAAAACAGGCCAGTTAGCCCATCATGATGAATTCATCAGGAATTAATCATGATAGTTTCCAGGGGGAACTGCGAGGAGGTCGACCTGGTTGGGTATATTGCTAGCAATGGGATTCTCAGTCTCCATTACTAACAATCCCTTCCCCCCACATGCTTGTACTGTCAACACTGAAAAAAGTTTAAATTTGACAGCACAATCCCCATCTTAAAAAAAAGTTTGAATTTGACACAAAAATCCCCATTAACAAAATGATCCGCCATTTATTGAATTCATTTGTTACAAAAAATGTGATAAATGAAGAACCGCTCGAGCGATTTTGTGCAAACTTCACATAAACCATCTACTAAATAGTCTGAACAAAGCTTAAACATTTGGTTTGGATAGGTGAGCCCGTTCTTGAGTTAGAAAATTACAACGAAAAGTGGCATTAATTTTTATATATATAAATATATTTTAAATTGCATGACCTGATACTGCTTAGTAGTTTGTATTCATACAAATTCATTATTTATATAGTTAAACTTTTTGAAAAAGCAACAGCTGAGTTTCTTGCTCGTTCTTGGCTGAAATAGCATTCCGAATGGGTGGTAATGAAAAAAAAAACACTATTAATAGTACATTACTGCAGCGGCCAACTACTGAGGCATTGATGGACGAAGGTGCAAATGTGGGCCGAGGCATAGCCGAAGCACACATACGTGAGTCCATCAAAGTTTTTTTAAGTTCAATGACGAATAACGAACAATAATAATTTTTCACGCGCCATAATGTTCATTTGTTTTTTTTTTTTTCAATAAACAGCTTTCTATTTGCAAGCCAGTTCGAAATTTAAATAAAACCTTTTATTAGTTACCTCCTTGGTAGATTGTCAAAACAATGCTCACATTTCCAAGCATGTTTGAGAAAAAATGGTTAAATTCTAAGTTTACTCAAATAATAATACTTCCTTTCTTATTTTTCTCTAATCTAGTGAATTATAAAATTTCATCCATTCATTTTAGGCTATGGACATAATTGAGAAGATGGATCCGCGCGCGTTCACAGAGTATATAAAAAAGTATAGCAACACGATATGCGGCAGGCATCCCATAGGCGTGCTACTGCAGGTACGTTTCATCATCATCACCTTCACCATCTGTGACTGTTCACTAGATGTATGCTTATGTTTATATTTTATGTTCACAAATTTTGTAATATTGTTTTTTTTTTTATACAACTTAGAATGGCAAACAAGCTGACGGCACACCTGATGGAAAGTGATAACCGTCGCCTATACACATGAGCAGTACCGTGGACATAACAGAGTATACTGTTTCGCCCATGATACCCCCCATGCGTTGCCATTCCTGAGGACTCGGATGTTATTCCTCTGTACCCAGTAAATTCACGCCATATCCCACCCTTAAAACCGAAACACAGCCATGCAAACACAACTGCTTCACGGTAGAAACACGAATGGGACAGAGGTACACAAGCAAACGACTTTTGTACAAAGTCTCCCTCTGGTCTTTTAACAGTAATCACCTTATTTTAACAATATTAAAAAAAAGTTAAAAGCACACATCGAAATAGGACTAGTATCGCACTCGCTGAAAATGGTCCATAAATACTATTGTATTTCCGCCGTATAGGTCCCGGCATAGAATGGGCCACCACTTCCTTACGGGAGGTCGAGGGATGGACAGCAGAGTCCCTCTTAAAATAACTCTAAAGCCTAACTGTGGTTGTCAACCTGCCTGCTAAGCGTGGCAACTACTGGCAACACTCTCCTTGTGGAGAAGACTCGTTCAGCTGAAATAATAATAAAAATTGTATTTCCAGGCAATATCGAAGCTTCAATCGCAACAGAACGCACCAAGAATGTCCATGAAATTCCTAAAATACGCCCAGTCGTCGCAGTGCGTGAACCCGCAGGACTCGTCCGTGTCGTACGCCAGTGCCTCCCTCGTGTTCGAGTAGGCCGCACCCGCCGCATCATCCCGTTGAAACTCACCGGCGAAAATCCCGCGGGATTCCGCGATTTTTTTTGTGAAGTTAGTGACGATCTCTTAGAATGTTGTTGTTGGTAAATCGATCCCGGGATTGGAAAGTGTTGTCACAATTCATAAAAAATTTTGAAATGGTTAGTTGATTGATTAAAAAAATTAATTAAAAGGACAGTGTAATAAAGTGTCCTTTTTTTTTAATGTTTGACCCATTCATTAATTATTGTGTCAAACATTGATAATCATTAATTAAAAACAAAAAGATGTCAAACAAATGTTCCACATGGGTACTGTTATGTTGTCGAAAACAAATAAATTGTACATTTAATTAAATTTCAAATAAAGAAGGCGCCGTGGGATTTATTTTCTATTAAAACATATAAAAAAATAACAAATGTTTAATTTTTTTTTTTCAATACAATTTAATGAAAATGTAATTAAATTTTGTTGAAGCTATCATAAAAGTACGTTCTAAACAAAATTAGGAATAAATCTTTTTTTTTATACAACTTAGAATGGCAAACAAGCTGACGGCCCACCTGATGGAAAGTGGTAACCGTCGCCTATAGACATGAGCAGTACCATGAACATAACAGAGTATACCGTTACGCCCATGATACCCCCCATGCGTTGCCATTCCTGAGGACTCAGGTGTTATTCCTCTGTACCGTGTAAATTGACGCCATATCCCACCCTTCAAACCGAAACACAGCCATGCTTCACGGTTCAAATACGAATGGGACAGAGATACCCAAGCAATCGACTTTTATACAAAGTCTCCCTCTGGTGATCTATATTCAATCGATAATCAACATTCAATTTATCGATTCTCGATTGTTCGATCGGACATCACTAGGCTGTCTCGGGAGGGCGAGGGGGAATCGATTAATTTAGTTTACATTCTCATTAAATTATTATGAAAAAAATTACATATTTGTTAATTTTTAATAATGCTTAAATAGAGGACAAGTTCCACGGCACTTTTTATTAAAACTTAAGTTCTGTGGGAACACGGCGAGGGCAAGCACGAAAGATCGTGTAAAGGGCTCCAGGATTTTCTGCCTGAAAAAGCCCAACATTCAATTAATAAGTTAAGAAATAAATTTAGAAGCACAGTACCACAGAATCGGCCTCATTATAATGCACCTACAGTCGCCTCGTTCTTTGCCTTCTTCCTACCCGTATCCCAATTATTATATGGGGTCGGCGTAATGTTTTTTCCATATTAAAAGGCCGGCAGCACACCTGCAATGCCGCTGGTGTTGTGAGTGATCATGGGCGGCGGTAGTCACTTACCATCAGGTGAGCCGCATGCTCGTTTGCCCCGTGTTGTAAAAAAAAATATTACAAAATGAAATTGACTTAGTTTTACGACCGGCCGCCTGCCTGACCTCAACCCTCTTTTGGGAAAGCACTTGTTGGTGGTATTCGCCACCTTTCCGCCTCTTTACCATGGGAACGAAATAATGCGCTTACGCATCGTATGTGTACTGTGTTACCACATAAATAAATATAAGTTATTAAACTAAAATCTATATCGAATCGTAAGATCTGGAACTTTATAGTTTTATTAAAAAAAAAAATACAAATCTGTATTGATTGCTCTGTAATTAGATTTAATTGGGAGCCTTTTTAGAAACAAGAAAGTTTTTTCTTTTATTTAATGTGTAAACCCATAAACCCTTAATAAAAAAAAATAAAAAAAACTAATAATGTTACATTATTTTACTGTCTTTTAAACTTGGCATATATGTATCGTAAAAGTCTGTTAAATATAAATAAATAATAATAAATAAATATAAAGATGAATTCTAAACTCCACCAAGCGTAAACAATCTTCACTATCCACACTTGTTTTTTTATACAACTTAGAATGGCAAACAAGCTGATGGTCCACCTGATGGAAAGTGGTAACCGTCGCCTATAGACATGAGCAGTACCGTGGACATAACAGAGTATACTGTTTCGCCCATGATACCCCCCATGCGTTGCCATTCCTGAGGACTTAGGTGTTATTCCTCTGTACCCAGTAAATTCACGCCATATCCCACCCTTCAAACTGAAACACAGCCATGCAAACACAACTGCTTTACAGTTGAAACACGAATGCGACAGAGGTACCCAAGCAATCGACTTTTGTACAAAGTTTTTCTCCGGTGTAATATATGCCAAGTGTATAAAAACAGTTTGTACTATTTTTTTTTTCACATATAATTTTTTCTAATAGTTTCCTCTGCTCTTCTATGGCGTATGTCCAATATTCCCGGTTAAAAAATGTATATTTTACGGGCTTTTATTTAACTTGCAACGTAAGTTTGTTTAATTTGAACCTTGCAAGCTTTAAAACCATTCCTTTATATCATGATTGAACTAAAATTTTGCATACTCATAATACTTACAAAATGGCCGTCACCACAAAATGGCGGACGGTGTATTTTTTATCAACTCCTTTACTGTGGCTTTTAAATGAAAGCATTTGAAGAGTAGATAACGATGCAATAAATGACGTCATTAAAATAATTGGCAGCTACAAAATGGCGGATTATAAAAGATTGTTTTAAAAAATAAAAGTTTAAACTGTCGCGTTCTATAACTACTTTTACATTTAATTTCTTGTCTTATTTTGTATTCCCGGGATTATTTGTAAATAGACTGTTTACATCTCAAAATTTGCGTATATTTAATAAAAAGAAAATATTTAATAGGTACTAGTGTTGTGTAAAGTGTGGGATTCCGAGTCCCACGGGATTAGCCCTAAAAGATTTCAATTGGTGATGTGTAACAATTTTTTTTTTTTATATTGTAATAATTTTAAGGTATTTTTCATTAGTTTTAGTTCTCTTATTGAACCACAAAGAATATGTCTTTTTTTTTTTCAATAATAAAATACTTAGTTAATAAAAGCTGCCTGAAAAAATAGGTCACATGTCTATTATGTTTATTTTAAATTTAGAATATAAATTAAATTCTTTTTTTTTTTAAGATTGGTTTTATTAATGAATGGTAACCCTGCCTGCGCTGTCGGTATACACTAGTGAGGCACCAGTGGGATATAAATGAGAATAAAATCAGGCGTTCTAATTCATTAGGCCTACCTATCTGTCAGTCTACCTGACAGGATATGTGCCTCACTATACCAAGAACAAGAATACATAGGAGTGATAAAATTGTCAATTCATAGCAGGCTAGTGTACAGAAAATGTTATACGGCCGTATAATCCTACCAAATTCAGATACAACCTGCTTGCATACTTTCTACATAAACTGTGTCGAATATATAATCTAGTAATGTAAAATTTGTCATTGACAAATAATTGACATATCAAACATTTTCTATACACTAGCCTGCTATGAATTGAGATAAATAGCAACGGATGGTGTATCTTTCGTCCTCTTTTTACTAATTATATTTGCATAAGAAGAAAGGAGGCAACCATATGATTTACAGTTTTTATTTTAGCATTTCTTCTATGTAATTCCTTGTCCATAGTTTCTTTACAGCCAATAGCACTAGTTCTGACAACCCCTTCTCTCATTTTGACGTGCGTAGAAAAAAAACCACTCGTTTTGCTGTTACGTGTAATTATCTCAACTGTAGATAAGTGTTCTGTGTTATCACTTACTGAATCTAACACCGAAATTTAAACAATTGTATTTCTGAATTTAAATATTACTTATTTTTATATTCAACAATTTTTAAATATGGAAATATATCGATGTTTAAATGAAAAACTGCTTATTTCAATCGGAATCTACTATTTCAGGCAGTTTTATGTGGGCACTGCTTTTAGTTTATAAGCTTTAGAATTTTTTTTTATACGTTTTTGATATACATATATAGTTTTTTTTAAGTGTTCACCTAAAAAATTTCTTTAAAAAAAATTCTTTATGTAAAAAAAATAAAATAAAAACATTGACACATTTATAAAAATGTCAAATGTGTTCTATCTATTTCTCTTACCTTAATCTCGTAATTTGAGAGAAAGTGACAAAACACTCTGTAATAACTAAAATAATTTTGTAGTAGAATTTAGTTTTTATGAATAATTAGGTTAAATTATATATTTTATATAGGTATCTGTCGCCTGTAGAAATGGACAGAATACCATAGTCAAGCCCATTAATATTTGACGCATATGGCAACTAGCATGTGTTGCCATTCCTGTCTAATGTATATATACTATATTATTAAAAATTAATTGATAATTTATACTATTTTTTTTCCTCACAAATAGCTTTTTTCACTTGAGTAAAATTTTCTTTTTTTATTACTGTACTTAGATATTAAGTAAAATATAATAAATTGTAATAAAAGTTATGTATTTTTGTAAAACAGTAACTGTTGACTGTTGGTAGAAGACATAAGTTGGAAGTAAGTATATATATGAAGGCATTTAGAATTAACATATTAAATTAACTGTAATGAGGTACTTACTGTCTACTAACGTGGAAATCCCTTTAGACAAGGTACGAACGAATCCGTCAATAGAATGAGACAGCGATATACGCCGTCTTAGTCTTTCTCATATCTCCTCGGCCAGAGGAGATATTGTCGATGGATTCGTCGACACCTTTTGTTTAGGGAGGCTGGGGAGTTTAAAATTCGATCTTACATGAATCAGATAAGGTTTGTTTTTAATATCTCATGCAGGATTTTCTTGTATAATCCGACTAGTTGAATACGCGCCTCTCGTTGTGGCCGTAATATTAACAGACTAGTATATGTAAATGGTATACTTACAATAGCTACTTCTTTTAGATAGCATCTCTTTTTATATTAAATAGGATTTTTGGGAAACGACTCAAAGGGGCTTAGTTGCAAAAGAGCGTCAAATTTTATAGCTAATGACAGTTAAAAAGCGCGGGAAATTTGATAAATCGATTACATAGTTAGA